AACTGCGAGTAAATGGAAGCACTTTTTCTTCCCTAATTTACGAGAATCTCTGAGTGAATGTATTGAAACAAATAAGTGCCAGTTGAGTAAACTAGCAAATAAAGGGTGGTCTACTAAAGGGAGACTGTAGTTCAGTCTGCTCTGTAGGTTCCTGGCCAAACCATTTTATCCACTGCATAATCAAAATAAATGTATTATTATTTTAAAATTAATGTCACATTCAGTGTTCCTCACACCAAGCTCTGCCAAAAACCAAACCAAAGTCCATCAGAAACTGGGGCTGTATATTTAATCGTTAGAAAGTGTGCCAATCCCCCAAATTCTTCCTCAGGCCCAAAGCAGAGGCTTTGCCGTCTATTCCAGAGCTGTGTGTCCCCAATGCAAAGAGTTCTATACTTCCTCACCCTGGGATGCTGTGACTCATGAAAAATGCCCCTGTTTTCTAAGTTGAATATATGAAAATGATCTCAGAACTGGGAGCTGGAAGGGACCCTATAGATTATTTAGTCCAGCCCCTGTCAAGGAGGCACAGTGGGGAATCAAACTCCCAACCTCTGGCTCTGCATCTCCAGAGACCTAAACCCCAAAGATATCAACAACATAGGGAGTACTTCCCCTATGGCTAGGGGAAACATTAGATCGCATCTCCAGAGGTATCAACAACATACAGAGTATTTCCCCTATGGCTAGGGGAAACATTAGATCTCCTCTCCATGTTTTGGTTCCAATGAAATTCTTCCTCCATGCCATTATAGTTTTTTAAAAAACTAGATACATTTTCTAACACATTTTAACTGTGGGACCTAGTTTGTATGCAAGATACGGCCTTTTTAAAAATTGATTTATTCTTGTTTATATTTACCAATTTTGGTTATACTTGAACTCAGTCAGGCAGAAGGATATTGGCCTGTTATTCTTAGCTTGCCTCCCACGCTTTCTCTGGAGCTAAAAGGAAAAGTAAAGATCAGAATCCTATTGGTATCGATGCAATGTTTGCATAGTTTACCATGTGGCTAATTGATGAGGTGCTGAGTTGCATCTCAGCCATGCAGTTGAGCATGTGATCAGGCACACCGCAGACATGCACTTCATCAATTAGCTACAATGAGCTGTGGTATGTTACACATAGCTTACATGACCCAGCACTTCATCAATTAGCTTACAATTAGCTGTGGTATGTTACACATAGCTTACATGAATACCAGTAGGATTCTAGTTGACGATTTTCTTAATTGGCTGAACATTCTACAAATCCTGCAGAAAACCTTCAATACCCACTAGAAAAATGTGCTTGCCCCACTTTTACATGAAAATTAGACTTAGAGGAACTGCCCACTTTATCCAACCCCTTATCTTCCAGAGCTTGGAAAAGTGACATTTCTGCACTCAAGTATCCCAAATCTCCTCAGATCCTGGGAGTTGCCACCGAAAAATATCATTTCAACCACTACATCCACCAGCACCAACCTTTTAACTAAGATATTTCAACTTGAGGAAATAGAATTTGACTTTACGATATTATGGTTCTTACAGTTTATTGTTCTTATACATTGTGATTGTGTTATTCCATATTTTTTTGAGTAAAATTTGCAAGCAGAGTTTGGCTTGGGAGCCCTTTGGGAAAGCCAGTACAGAACATAACATGATTATGGATGCTGGCTGCAGTTTTAACTAATGTTTCTTGTGTATAACTTGGTTGCTTTCCTGGACGTTCGTTATGCATCAGTGACCTCTCATTGTGCAGCTTTCCCTGTTTGCTATTCAGAGAAAGAATAGCAGACACAGCCGTGTTCTCCAGTGTATTAGTTTTAATTTAATTAAGGTGGGCGTAGAAGCTTGATGGACGCCTTGATGGAGAACTGTGATCTTTGATTTAACAGATAGGATCCTCATGGGGAAATTTAACATCTTGATTGATATTAGTTTTGCATGAGTTTTAACTTTTGTTGCTGCAAAATTTTAAGTGAAGGATGGGTTTAACAGCATGAAAATGAAAAGGAAGTATCAAAACCAAAATTGAGTGGAAGATCATGCCTAGTTTCTCCAAATGACTTTCGTGAGCTCAAATGTGGTATGTGGATCATGCTTCCCAGAGGCTTCTTCTGAAGGTGCATTTTTTTCCTCTTTTGGCCAAGTAAGTAAGTAAGTAAGTAAGTAAGTAAGTAAGTAAGTAAGTAAGTAATTGAGCTCAAATGAGGTATGTGGATCATGCTTTCCAGAGGCTTCTTCTGAAGGTGCTTCCCCCCCCCTCTTTTGGCCAAGCAAGCAAGCAAGCAAGCAAGCAAGCAAGCAAGTAAGTAAAAGTAAGTAAGTAAGTAAATGAATAAATATATATCTTTTAACACCCCACAAACCCAATGAAGTAAGTAATGAGCAGAGAATAAAAATGAATTTTAAGAAAACTACATAACCTACATTCTTGGTAATCAGTAAAAAAGCAGGTAGGAAAAAAAAGGTTAAAATTCCAAAATGAAAGTGGTAACAAATACAAGTATCTTTGAATATGGTTGAATAGACCACTGGTTCTTAACCTTTGTTACTCAGATGTTTTTGGACTGCAACTCCCAGAAGCCTTCACCATCAGCTGTGCTGGCTGGGGTTTCTGGGAGTTACAGTTCAAAAGCACCTGAGTAACAAAGGTTAAGAACCACTGGAATAGACAAAGCTATGCAACAGACATCAGACCAGAGGTAGCCAGGATAATATATTAGACCAGAGGTAGCTAGGATTATATTAGATAAATAATATAATGTGTACAGGAACAGTGACTTTGAGAAAGCATAGTATGCAGTGCTCTTGCATTCAACCCTGCATGATGGAATTGTGGACTTGAACACAATCTACTGTAAAAAAATGAAAGACTCATTAGAAATGTGGACTGATCACAAGATGCTAAGAGGTTCCTGGATCCGGAGGGTAACCAACAAAGGAGTACTGCACAAATGAATAAAAACAGGAGACAATAAAACACATAAAATGCAGAACCACTTTGGTCACATAATGAGAAACGCAAAGTACAGGTTGTTACAGCTGATCATTCTGTGGAGGAAAGAGTGCAGGAAGAGGAAGAAATTGGCTGAAGAAAATACGGAGGCTAGTTTGGGTGCCGCACAACTAAAAACCCTGCATGATGGAATTGTGGACTTGAACACAATCTACTGTAAAAAAATGAAAGATTAGAAATGTGGACTGATCACAAGATGCTAAGAGGTTCCTGGATCCGGAGGGTAACCAACAAAGGAGTACTGCACAAATGAATAAAAACAGGAGACAATAAAACACATAAAATGCAGAACCACTTTGGTCACATAATGAGAAACACAAAGTACAGATTGTTACAGCTGATCATTCTGTGGAGAAAAGAGTGCAGGAAGAGGAAGGAATTGGCTGAAGAAATGTGGAGGCTAGTTTGGGTGCCGCACAACTAAATTGTTGAGAGATGCAGCATCCAAAGCCAGAATAGCTATAATGATGCTTGAGGTCTGAGAGGGGAGGAATACAGAGATAGGCCTTTGCCTGCTTGTGGAAAGACAGCAAAGATGGGGCCAGGCTGGCCTCCCATGGGAGGGAGTTCTGGAATCTGGGAGCAGCCACAGAGAAGGCCTTCTTCCGTGTCCCCACTACATGCACCTGTGAGGAACATGAAACTAAAGGGTGACTTTGAAATTTTTACCTACAGCTGGCTAATATTGGGTCCTTGGAATTATAAATGTATTTCTTTCATTGCAAAGGATATTTGCAAGCTCAGTATCAAAAAGACTGTTCTCTCAATATATCAGGAAAAGGTACAACTTTCCAGGATACCCTCATAAATCCCTGTAATGAACTAGTGCTTCATGGCATCCAGCTTTCCAATAAACCTATGTAGCAGGTAGAAACTTATTTCAATTATTAATCACATTTTATAGACCCAGTGCTGTGGCTAATTGGCGGGAACTTTATCCAAGGTCATGTTGTGAACATGAGGTGAACTATGGGGTCAAAAGCTTCCTGGCGTAAAATTTACTCCCCCATCTCCTTTGCCGCCCGAGAGGGTCACAATCCAGAGATTATCGGCATGGGTGGGTCCAGCCCTACCATTAGGCAAGTGTGAGGCAGGTAACTCAAATGGCACATTCGGAATATCTTGAAAGGGCAATAAAGAGAAATGCATTGTTACTCATTTACTTTGCTGGTATTATTGTTGCTGCCAAAGTTGGAGAGAGGTGCTTACAGAACATTCTGCCTCTTGGGGGCAAAATAATCTAGCACAAGAATATACCTCTTTGACACATCACTTGGGTGGCAACAGAGAGCACCATTTGCTGCTTTGCCTCACTCAAGGATGATGGGATTTCCTGTTTATCAGCACATGGAAAACCATAGGTTTTCTGGCTTTGTTGTCCTTGTTGCTTGTATAGATGATGTCTACTATCAGCTCTTTCGGTGTCGGGGAAAGGACGCCAGGAGAAACAGACTCCTAAGACCCAGGCAGATATGTGATCCTTCAGGGATGAAACCACATCCTAAGTAAGCCCTCTTTGAAAAGACAGGGGGGCACCAGGGTAGAGGACAGGAGTGGGGACAGATTTAGACCTTGCTCTTCCCCCTGCTGTAAAGCAATCCTGAGCCCCATTAATAATGGAAAGGCAACTGAAAACCAGCCAGATAAGGTAGCTGGATCTCTCTCTCTCTCTCTTTTCATCTGGCTGTCTGTCTTAATGGTCACCTGACCAAAGGAACGACAGGTAATTTTTCCCCTCCCCTGAGCCTTTTGAAACTGCAGGTGGAGAAAAAAGCATAAGGGATTCCCACTGCCTAGGTCTAGCTCTGCACTGTGGCCAAGATATCATTTCATGATGTTCTTCCACTTGACCTACATTTGAAAGGATCTTTATGTTCATTGGCCATGTGTGATATCGTAGCTTCATTGCAAGATTTAACCTGAGCGGAGGAAAGGTCTTTTAAAAGGTAGAAGGAGAAGAAGAAGCGAATACTCAGCTCAAGTCAATGAATAAGTAATGGGTCCGAAAAAGAAGACAAGTCAACAGAAAGGAGAAACGGAAGATGTGAAAGGAAAAGATACTGTGACCAAACGGGGGAAAGACGGAAGGGATAATGTTAAACGAAGAAGGCAGGTGAAGAACTACCAGCCAGTGAGAGTTTTAGTCCAAGGAAGAAAGGGAATTTGCAATCCGGGTAATCAAGGAGGAGGCAGGCACGGATGTGGGGAAGTTACAGATAACCAGCAAGCATTGAAGAAGTGAAAGGAAATCAGAAAGGAGAGCATCACATCGAGAATCAAAGGCAAAGTCCCCAAATCCAGTAGAAAAACAACTGTTGTGGAGGAACAAATAACATGATAGAGAAGAGGAAGACAAGGTGATAAGTGGAGGAAGAGGATGAGTACATCATCAGAAGAGGAAGAGGAAGATGAAGAGCTGGAGGAGGAGGAAGAGGAGGAGGAGGAGGAGGAAGAAATCTATGAAAACAAGAGGAAACTGAGAAGTAGAGATTCATCGGATGATGAGGATGATGACAGCAGTGAAGAGAGGAAAAAGAAGAAGAAGAAAAAGAAGAGAGAGTCGAGTGAGAGTGATGACGACGACGATAACAGAAAGAAAAAGAAGAAGAAAAAGAAGAAGAAGAAAAAGAAGAAAAAGAAGAAGTCTAAAAGCAAATCTATGAAAAGAAGAGGAAACTGAGAAGTAGAGATTCATCGGATGATGAGGATGATGACAGCAGCGAAGAGAGGAAAAAGAAGAAGAAGAAAAAGAAGAGAGAGTCGAGTGAGAGTGATGACGACGACGATAACAGAAAGAAAAAGAAGAAGAAAAAGAAGAAGAAGAAAAAGAAGAAAAAGAAGAAGTCTAAAAGCAAGGATAAGAAGAAAAAGAAAAAGGATGACGAGAATTTTGCAGAGATGTACGAGCAGGAACTTAGAAATTATCACTCAGAGTCTCCCAATGAAACTGAAGATGAGTACAACAAGAAAAAAGGTGAGCTTGAACCGCTGAATAAAACACACTTTTATGTTAATGCTCAAGTCTTCTTAATGAAACTGGGGTGGGGTAGGTCAATTGGACAGTCTTATCTTACGATAGGTGGATTGGACCATGTTATCTTGTCGATTGATTGGTTGATTGACTGGTTGCTGTTGGGCTAATGAGAAAGTGGAGTTTGGGAAGAGAGGTATTAAGGGAAGATGTGAGAAAGCTGTGAGCAGATGCTGACAACCAGAATATGCCACTTCTGCTTCTTCCATCACGGCTTGCCAAAAAACAGCATTGAGTATTTTTGTTTTTTGTTTTGTCTGGATATGTTAAACCCTGGCTGGGACAAAAACTACTCCAGGCTAGATTTGTTGGGATAGTTCTGATCTCCATTGTGTGTTTTCCCCCCAGCCCAGGAAAAAACTAGACAAAACGCCTATATATGCACACTTTGCAAGTGGCTCTGACTTGGGGCCATTACATTGTTGTTGCTGCTGTTGTAGTTGTCGTGTGCCTGGCCCCCAAAAGTAGCAGCCTACAACCGAATCAAGAAGGTCCAGCTCGGGCACAGATCAGGGTTGGGCTACAGCAGAATTCCTTGTATGTTGTTTTTTGATTGCCTGAAAATAGGGCATATCAGAGTCAAAATACAATCTCATTCCCCCTTGTGATCACACCTTTGGTCTGATCATAATCATGTGCTTTTCAGGATTTTCCAAGTGGGGAATACACCATGTGCTGTCAAGTCAATTCTAAAAAAATCTCCTTTTCAGGATTTTCCAAGTGGGGAATACATAGATGTGGTTTACCATTCCCTACTTCTGGGGATACTTCTGGGACTGTGCAGCTGGCTCAAGGCCAAACAGGCTGGCTCTACTCCCAGGAGGCACAGTGGGGAATCGAACTCCTGACCTTTACTAACTCCCTGCGTTATCCAGCCAGCTCCTTTTCTATATTATAGCTCATACCGTTCCCTGTCCAGCATGGTCAGCAGGTATTCTGGTAGAGAGGAAGAGGCTAAGATTTGTAGCCCACAAAAGTAACTTTACCATTCTCCAAATGTTAGGTTATTACTGTAGTCCAATTTTAGAAAGCTCTGCATATTAAGACTGTTCTAAACTTAAGAGGATTCTGGAGTGGCATTAGGAGAAGAGCTGAATCACACTTTTTGGAGTGGAGGAGGGAAGGAGTAAATACTTCCACGTCCATTTTATGAATCTGAATGTGCCCATTAACACTTCCATCCAGTTTGTGTTCTTACCTCATTTCCAGAGTCTGATTGTGTTAATATTTGCGATTCTGAATATGAGTACTAAAATAAAGTAGTGAAAAAAAAGCAGTCCTGAACATGTACATTATGCTTTAAAAATGAAGTTTGAGCAGCAGTTTACTAAAAGTCATTGCAAAACAATCAGCTAGCTGTCCAGCTGAGTCTGGAAGCAAAGTCACTGTATGATAACATTGCCTTGCAAAGTAATTTCTCTCATAGCTGACTATCGAATATGTTTTACTGTAGGTGATCACAAAACAAAAGGAAGGCTAATGATGTGGGTGATCACAGACAATTAGGAAAGCAATTATCCTTAGAGAAAGTACAAAAAAGTCAACCATAGATGTCCGAGCCAGCGGAACCTAAAGGCAACGCCTTGAGAACTCTTTTATTAGCTTAGGAAGGGTTACATCGTATGTTGTGAGAATTCAAATAGGATACTGGTTACCTAATTGCCACTAGGATTGGCTGGAGAAAGTCTTTGAACTTATGATCTAACTCTAAGGGAAAAGGCAGAATGAGAGGTCACCCCGCCGTCAGGAGCCGCTCTCTCTACCAGGAGAGTTTGCTCTCACTGAAACAGGAATGCAGCTAACGGCCTTGAGCAGGGTTTCCCCATATTTTACAAATGATAACAAAATGTTAACAAAGGAGAAAATTGAAAGTGCATTGAAATATGTAGAACATTGCAATGTGTTAACATGAGAGAGAGAGAGAGTTGGTGTTTCAGATCCTGTGATTTGGTCTACTTTATTTCTGTAGGCTCTCAAACTGCGAGTCACAACAATAATGCTTATCATCATGGTGGCAGTTTGCCAGATTCTGATTTGCAGGAATTTTGAGATCAGAAGTAGTACACTCAATAGAGATTTCTATTACAATGTTTTCCTTGGTATTTCAAGATGCCATAGTTACAGGTCCAGCAAAAGTGAATGTTTAACGTTGGAAGGGAAAGGTAAACATTTGAGAGAAACATAAATTTAGGAAGGCAGGAGACACATGCGAGTTTATCATTAATTGCAATATCCCAAATTTCTCTGTATCATTTGCTTGATGACATATTATGAGCTAATTTCCAATTCCTAGCAATAATCATTCTTGCCATTGTTAAGAGATTATGAGAAACTAGTTATGTCCTTCCAAATATTATTAATTGGGATAAATGCCAACTGTGATGAACACTGATTTTTTTGATTTTTTCCTTAGAGATGATATCTAAAAAGTTCTGTACAACTTTTAGGGAGATGTTCAGACATCAGACTCTCTTACCTGACAATCAGACAATGGAGACTCTGATACTGTGAATATACTCCAAGTTTTACTGAATCTATTCTGGGGCTAGGTTTCACCATGCTGGATGTTCGTTCTGAAGGGCAGGGACTGGGGTCTTCTGAGCTACAAAATTGGGAGGTGGGGGCTATAGCTTCAACAGTGCCTTGCCATTGGCCATGATGACTCAAGCTTCTGGGAGACGAAGTCCAGAAAATCTGGTGAACAAAAATTTGGATCAACACCCCTGGTAGATTCATCACCTCCATGACATCCGAGCCCTCGACCTTCAGTGCTCCAGACTTCGCTCAATCTATTCACTGCACAAAAGCTGCTCTATTGTCTGGTCTACCGAGTCGCTTACCTAGTGTTTCCTTGTTTGAAACTAAGTCTGGACTTTTAATTGCACCGACCCATGTGCAGCTGGACAAGGTTGTACATGCCTGAAATGTAACCTAGAGGATGGGTGCTCTTTGGAGCACAAACACAGCTTATGTTCAGCGGTTTTCAGACCCAGTGATTTTAGGGAAGAGAGCTAGATTTAAGCTTGAAAGAGACTTGAATTCAAATCAATTTACTCTGTTTTCATTGGAACATTTTAAACCCTGCATGAAAACTGCCACCAGTTCTCCACTGAGGGCAGGAATGAGGGACTTCTGAACTACGAAATTCGGGAGCGCGAAAGCCTATGATGCCCACAGCTCCTTGTCATCAGCCTTGATGTCTCGGGCTTCTGGGAGATGAAGTCCACAATGTTTCTCCACTCTCTTTAGAGAGAGATCACTGGTGTACTAGGTAGCAGTCCTCATGGAGAATTGTATGGCATGGAGGTGACAATCGAAAGCCACAAACTGACATATTCTTTTATTGCTCCTTGTGGTGCATGATCAGATTACAGTGGGGTCTTGACTTGAGAACCGACCCATGTGCAGCTGGACAAGGTTGTACATGCCTGAAATGTAACCTAGAGGATGGATGCTCTTTGGAGCACAAACACAGCTTGTGTTCAGCAGTTTTCAGACCCAGTGATTTGAGGGAAGAGAGCTGGATTTAAGCTTGAAAGAGACTTGAATTCAAATCAATTTACTCTGTTTTCATGGGAACATTTTTAACCCTGCATGAAAACTGCCACCAGTTCTCCACTGAGGGCAGGAATGAGGGACTTCTGAACTACCAAATTCAGGAGCGGGAAAGCCTATGATGCCCACAGTTCCTTGTCATCAGCCTTGATGTCTCGGGCTTCTGGGAGATGAAGTCCACAATGTTTCCCCACTCTCTTTAGAGAGAGATCACTGATGTACTAGGTATCAGTCCTCATGGAGAATTGTATGGCATGGAGGTGACATTGCTCTGGAAGACACAGGAGAAGAACAGATAAATCGAAAGCCACAAACTGACATCTTCTTTTATTGCTCTTTGTGGTGCATGATCAGATTAGGTCACAGAACCTGCCCATTTTTGAAATAATGGCTGCCACCGTTGTAAAGAAAGCAAGATGTTTGCATTTCCACAACATTCACAAGGGAGTTTTGACTCTTGGCGGTGACGCCAAATGACTCCGAGCACTCTTCACAAGATGGACTGAGGATCATGTTTGCCTTTATAGGCTGATCAAGCATAAAGAGAGCTAGAGAGTGACTAACCCTCTGTGCCTCTTGTAGGCTGCACTATTTTGGTCTGCAAATGTAGAGTATAGTCTATAAAAGGACATGGAAGGGATGCTGGCTTTTCTGCTGAAGTTAAATATCACACAGACAACAACCAGAGTTGTCAGGATCTATAAATTTCAGGGGTTTATTGCTTTTTCAGAAGTCCTTCTAGCAAGTAGGAAAGCTCTTGCTGCTGCAGAAATAGTTAATTGGTTGTTTGGTTAGGTTAACAGATTTCAAAAAGACTTTTGTTGATGAAAATGACCTAAAGAATAAAATGTTTCATTAGGCAGAATGTTTTCAGAGTGGGTTTTTTTTTTTACACATAGGAGTTTAAATAAATTCTAAAAAAACACCCTGCTGACAGCATGCAGTATTTTTAAAGGGGATATTCTATGGTGAAAGTTTATGTACCCACTAGTAATAGTTTCTAATTCTAATCTGTCAGTCATTTGCAAAATACAGTGGACCCTCGACTTACAGATGGCTCCACTTACAGACTTTTCGAGTTATAGACTTCTCTGGCCGCAAAATGTAGGTTTGACTTGCAGCTGGAGAATCGACCTACAGACTGGAAAAACAAAACAAAATGGAACAAAACCGCCAGATTACGGATTAGTCAGTTTTCAATGCATTGTAGGTCAATGGAGGCTCGACCTACAGACTTTTCAACCTCCAGCCACCATTCCAATACGGATTAATTCTGTAAGTAGGGGGTCCACTGTAGGGCTTCTTAGGGTAGAAACCAAACATAGTTAAGCTTTCCTCCACTCAGTGTTACAGATGGGCCTGAACCAAGCTATGAATGGAAATAATGAACCACTGGTTCATGGTTTGGCCCGTGGTTTGTTTTGTGCAACCTCTTTTGCCAAAATGACATGAAGCGCCGACCTTTTTTCCACTCTGCATTTGATTTCGCTTCAGCAAAACAGGGTTCCTGCCCCTCCAATGCAATGCTGGGCTTAATTTTAATGGTGATGGAGGTGATCATCCTGCAAAGGAGCTGCCTTATACTAAGTCAAAGTATTGGTTCATCTCAGAGCTTGGAAAAACTACCCTTGGGGTGAGAACTCTCTCAAGTTCTGGGACAATTCCGCAGGGAATTCTAGGAGCTACATTCTGGGAGCAATAGTCCAAAAAAGTAATTTTTAATGATAAAATGATTGGATAAACTCTGAAAAGATAAACTCTAAATTTCCTCTGAAGAGAAACTAGAAACCAACATGGATTTGTCAAGAACAAATCCTGCCAAACTAATTTGGTCTTGTTTTTTTAATCAGGTAACCTCCGTGATAGACAGAGGGAATGCTGTAGACATAACATATCTTGACTCCAGCAAAGCTTTTGACAAAGTGCCCCATGATATCCTGATTGATAGGGTAGTTAGATGTGGACTGGATAGATCAAGTGTTAGGTAGATACAAAATTGGTTACAGAATCGTACTCAGAGGATGATGATTAATGGGTTCTTCTCTAACTGGGAGGATATAACGTGGGGTACCCCAGGCTCAGTCCAATATTGTTATTAATGACTTGGATGAGGGAGTGCAGGTAATGCTTGTCAAATTTGCAGATGATACAAAATTGGGTGGAATAGCTAATACCCTAGAAGACAGAAACAAAATTCAAAATGACCTTGACAGAATGGAGCACTGGGCCGAAAACAACAGAATGAAATTCAACAGAGACAAGTGCAAAGTCCTGCACCTCGGAATAAGAAACCAACTGCACAGTTACAAGATGGGGGATACCAGGCTCAGTAAAACTACGAGTGAGAAGGATCTTGGAATTGTCGTAGATCACAAGCTAAATATGAG